GCGGGACGTGCGGCGGCAGCGTGGCGACCTGCCCTGCCGGTGGCCCTACAAAAGGGTCAAGGGGACACAAGCACAAGCGACACAAGTCTGCGGCCGGCAAGGCGCCCCGCCACTCCGCGACCGCTGCGCCCTCGTCGCCCCAAAGGGCTCTCGCACGCTGTGGGGGGCTCGGGTTGCGGCGCGGTGCAGCATGACCGTTTTCCCCGCCGCGCCGGTGTGCCTTTAAGGGCCCCAAGAGCTGGACGGGCGGGGCGCGGCCGGCGGGGCCAGCGGGACGTTAAACTGCCATTGTGCCTCGTGGGTAAATGGGGGCGATTGCTGTGGCCAGGTGCTGCTGGTCCCGCTGTGTAGCGCAGGGCGCTGGCCGGTGGGCCAGTGGCCGGCCGGGGGACCATGGCAGGGCATTTCCGGATCGGTCCATTTCACCCGGGGCGTGGCGTGGCCGGGCAGGGCAAGTTAGCCCGCGCATTTTTCTACTCCACTCGCGATGGAGCAGAACGGATTGTCGGCGGCGGCCACGATGCCATGCTACCCAATCCGCGCCCATTTTTATTTCGGGACGCCGACGCCGACATGCCGCGGTGCCGAGGGGTTCCTGCGGGTCCCCCGCCACCAGTCGGCTCTCATCACGGCGTTCAGTTTACACCTAAACTTACTACTTGACATGTGAGTGAGGAGCCAGACCAGGGGCGCACGCCGGTGCGGTGATGCGCGCCAGCTCCTCCGTTCCCGCCACACCAGCTGGGCGCCCGTCCGTGCCGAGCCGCGCCGCGCCGGCGGCGTAGCGATCGCGACCCCGGACGCCATCTGCCGGACGTCTTCGGAAGTGCGCCGCCGCCCGCTCCGCTCCTCTGCGCGCAGGCGCAGGCTCCCCCGCCCCACCCCGCGTGCCCAGTGTGTAATTACGTAGCCTCCCTCCACCCCCAAGCGACGAGGTGGCCGAGTGGTTAAGGCGTTGGACTGCTAATCCAATGTGCTCTGCACGCGTGGGTTCGAATCCCATCCTCGTCGTCACATTTTTTGCCCGCTTCTGAGGCAGATTTGCGGGGAGGATGGGTTTTGAATGGTTGCTCTCCACATCTTGTTGTGTGAGACGTACTTCAACTTGATAGTAAGTAACCAAAGCACTTTTCTCTTTTGTTTCAGATTGGCAGTTTGAAGAATTACTATTTATTTGAACATCCACACGTTAGAAAAAGGTCAGTGGAACACAGCCATGAGCACAAGACTAAACTACAAAATGAAGAAGAGGTATGTATTATTGATTTAATATTTGTGTTTTGTTGATTTCATGATATTATAAATGTAATTTCTTATCACAATTTATCTATTGTTTGTCTTCAGGTGAAGTGGGTCCAACAGCAGCATGAACGTGTGAGAGTGAAGCGAGACTTCAGCTCTCCCAGCTTTCCCTCCTTTTCCTCTTTCTTTAGCCCTTTCAGCAGTGGTGGTAGTTCAGGAGTGAGCAGCTCACATCATAACCACCATCGTGCAATTGGTCCAGTTGGCCCATACAGCCCATACTCAGACCCACTGTGGAGAGAGCAGTGGTACATGGTATGTTTTCCTAAGAGTTTTAAGTACTTTTAATTCTT